GGAAAGACCATGTGACTAATTTCATTTGTCCTGCTTCCTACTACCTGTTAAAATTGCAATTTCGTATAAAATGTCATCCATGTAGCAGATTATTAAAACAATTAATAGCAAATGTATTATTTCAGGACAAAGAAAACAGGAATGAGAACAGGACAAAGAAATAATCCTCCTTCTGAAGACTGACACTAGGAAAGATTTCCTTTTAGCAATGTGGATTTAACCAAGTTTGTGAAAGAATTCTGCATGAAAAGTGTTTGTTGTTGTTAATAACCTTTCATTTTATCAAGCATGAAGAAAGAAAAAGAAAACTTTGTGCTTGGTTTAAAATTGGAAATGAAATACAGAAAAGCATTCTCTTCCTAAAGGCTTACAGTAATGGTATATAAACTTCTTGGTGATTTCATTGCTCTCCCATGATGTTCTTGGCAAATCCAGAAGGGAGGAGTTAATAGTAAGGCCTGGAATTTACTGAGCACTCACTGTGTGTTACACTTTCTTTTCAATGCTGTACTGTATATGCATCAATTCCATTCTCACAGTGAACCTCAAAGTCAGGTCCTATCACCACCATTACCGTTCATAGAGTAACTGAGGCACAGAGAATGCAAGAAACTTGTTGACAATCACACTGCTAGTGGTTGGGAGAGCTGGGCTTTGAATTCAGGCATTTAGGTTCCACAGGCCCTGTGCTTACAATTACCTTTATATAGTAGAAATTATTCTCCCCATTGGACAACAGGCAAAGTACCTTACCTTAGCATCAGGTAGAAACTCATTTATTGTATACGTAATATGGGTGGTGCTATGGTCTGAACGTTTGTATGCCTCCAGAATTCATGCACTGAAATCCTAAGCCCTAAGGTGAAGGTGTTAGGAAGTGGGGACTTTGGAAAAGTGTTTATGTCTTGAAAGTGGACACCTCACAAATGAGATTAGTCCTGTTATAAAAGAGGGCATTGCTCTTTTGACCATGTGAGGACACCGCATTAAGGCAAGAAAATGGGCTCATTAGACACTGAATCTTCCAGTGCCTTGATGTTGGACTCCCCAGGCTCTAGAACTGTGAGACATACATTTCTGCTGTTTCTAAGCTGCTAATTTTACAGTACTTTTTGTTGTTGTTTTTTGAGATGGAGTCTCTTCTCTGTCTCCTACACTGGAGTACAGTGGCATGATCATGGCTCACTGCAACCTCTGCCTCCCGGGCTCAAGTGATTCTCCTGTCTTAGCCTCCCAAGTAGCCAGGATTACAGACACATGCCACCAAGGCTGGCTAATTTTTTATATTTTTGGTAGAGATGAGATTTCACCGTGTTGTCCAGGCTGGGCTCGAACTCCTGACCTTAAGGGATCTGTCTGCCTTGGCCTCCCAAAGTGTTGGGATTACATGTGTGAGCCACCGTGCCTGGTCTAGTTTTGTTTGTTTGTTTGTTTTTAGATGGAGTCTTACACTGTCACCCAGGCTGGAATGCAATGGCATAATCTCAGCTTAATGCAACCTCCGCCTCCCATGTTCAAGCGATTCTCCTGCCTCTGTGTTATAAGTAAAATTTTCAGTGCTGCAAAAGAAGTAGCATTTGAATATAAATTTCCTTGGCAAGGCAGTTTACTTATATGGAAGGGTGCAGATCACAGATGGAACAATGGTGAGTGCACAATTGGACAGAGGGGAAGGGGCAGTTATTCCTGATGGAGGTAGCTCCTACTGCTGTGTCGTTCCCCCGATTGTCTAGCGTTAGATTGCACAGTCTAGTCTAATTCCATTTGCTGATTTTAAAGGAAGCAGAGGTACGAGCCAGAGTGGCGGGGTGGGTAGTTCGGCGGGAAGGACATTACATGCAGGTCAGAGCAGGTAGCCAGGGGTCAAAGCAGGTGACCAGAGCAGGTGACAGGGATGAGTCAGGATGGAGCAGGGGACCAGGGGAGAAGAGGTGAACTACTGATTAGAACTGGTGGAAAAGGTTGTTTACTGAAACTACAAGGAAGTTAAACTTTAAAATGGAGAATTAAAGAGTAAGAGAGCTGAACATACTGACATACTGATTCTTTGAAGAGAAACTTGGGGTTCACTACATCTAACAGCCTCCCGAGTAGCTGAGATTATAGGCGCACATCACCACACCTGGCTAATTGTTTGTATTTTTAGTAGAGATGGGGTTTCACTATGTTGGCCAGACTGGTCTCAAACTCCTGACCTCGTGATATGCCCATCTTGGCCTCCCAAAGTGCTGGGATTGCAGGTGTGAGCCACCATGCCTTCCAGCCCAGTATCTTAACAGGCTGAACTCACTAAGTCAGATTGACACATAGGTTATATCATTGGAAACTGTCACAGATCCAGTAAAAGGTTCAGAGGGACAGGGACTTACAGAATGAACCAGGACTCTTTGGGTATAAAAAGAGAAACCCCAATTCAAATGAGCTCAGGTGGGAGAGGAGGAAATTGGTTGATCCATGTAACCAGAAAGGACAGAAATGGGCTAGATCCAGGGACTAGTTAACATCAAGAAATTCCAACTCTGCATTTCTTTCCCCACATTTTTGTCCCCACTGTGGTATCTATTTGCTCTTCAACCTCCCCCCACCCCCATGATGGTAGGAAGGAGGAGTTGACCCTGGAGGTCACAGGTTTTTAGCTTTTTAACTCCTTTCTAGTCAGTGTGCTTCTAACAAAAAAGAATGTTCCCTCCCAACAGCCCCGAGGGAAGCCACTGAGTGATCTGGTGAGATTGTTAAGCTCAATTGACAATTTTCACAGCACATATCCCTAAATGAAATGATCCGTTTGCATAGGAAATTATTTTCTGCATGCTTCCAACAGAATGTCATCTCTGTGAGGTCCTAACTGGTCAATCTCATTCCCTGTTGGCTATTCCTGAGGCCTTCCAACATTTCTGCACCTAGGATGCCCTGTGCAGAGGAAGGAGTAGACAAAACCAAATCAGAGGCCGAGTAGCCCGCCCCCACGCTGGCTCCATTTCTTCAGGCTGTATCATCTGTACCTTGGTTTGTTGGAACATCAGCGGTCAGGAGCTATAGGCAAAGTTGAATAATAAAAAGAAGTATCCTGGAAAGTGAGGCTTCATTCCTGGCCTCGGCCTCCCTAACCAAGGGAGTCTGAGTAAATTAGTCCGCTTCTCTGAGCTGAAATTCCTTTAGCTCTTTAGAGGAAATAATTCCGGGCCGGGCGCGGTGGCTCAAGCCTGTAATCCCAGCACTTTGGGAGGCCGAGGCGGGTGGATCACGAGGTCAAGAGATCGAGACCATCCTGGTCAACATGGCGAAACCCCGTCTCTACGAAAGGTACAAAAAATTAGCTGGGCATGGTGGCGCATGCCTGTAATCCCAGCTACTCAGGAGGCTGAGGCAGGAGAATTGCCTGAACCCAGGAGGTGGAGGTTGCGGTGAGCCGAGATCGTGCCATTGCACTCCAGCCTGGGTAACAAGAGTGAAACTCCATCTCAAAAAAAATAAAATAAAATAAAATAATAATAATAATAATAATAATAATAATTCCCCGTACCTGTTCACCTCATAGGCTTGCTTGCTAAGGAGAATCCAAGGTGTTTTGAAACTGGGGAGGCAGGTTGAGCAAGCTCTTCTGGATTATTTCCCAGTATTCTCCTTCAGGAACTCATCCAAACTCACCTAATCAGAATTTCTGTATATGCAGAATGGACATTGGAGACTCAGAGAGGGAGAGTGAGAAGGCGGGTAAAGGATGAAAAACTCACCTGTTGGAACAATGTATATTATGATGGTGACGGGTATGCTGAAAGCCCAGACTTCGCCACTATACAATTCATCTGCATAACCAAAAGCCACTTGTACCTCTAAAGCTACTGAAATTTTTTAAAAAATTACTATATATGCTCAAGTCTTCTCAATACCTGTCCTTGTGCGTGGCTCTGTACATTCTCTGCTTTTAATGTCTTTCAACCCTCCTGTCTGGAATGAACCATAACATAGCCCATTTCAAGTCTGTATCCTTGACAAAGCACTTCCCCACTTCCCCAAACCTGAAATAATCTTACTTTCCGTTAAATTGTCATAACACTTTATCTGTATATCTAGAAACACTGAAATCTGCAGTCATCTCATTATTTCACAAGAAGTCCAAGGAGGGCAGCTAAACTGGCTAAGCAGCCCTGGGGTTGTCTCTGTTCTATGTATGCTAGAATTCCTTAAACTTTATTACTGGAGAGCAAGCTCACTGCAGGCACTGCCTCCCAATTTAATACATTAATGCCTGAATCTTCTGTATTTTTGCTGTTCAGAGCTAAGGTTGAGGTTTGGGAGGCAACCAAGGCCTGATTGCTGTGTAATTAACCCATCTGAGTTTCTAGGATAGAAAGGTTGTGATAACAATAGAATGGAACTTAACCCATGTGATCTGATTCCAGAGAGGGAAAACTCCATGTGGAGAAAATTTAAAGAGCTGTCATAGGGTTCACTCTTGGTCCTCTGAATAACGTTTTTTTTCCCTCCCTTGTTATCATTCTTCTCACTCATCCTTCAAGGTTGCCCTATTCTTTTTAAAAACTACTTCCAGCCAGGCGTGGTGGCTCACATCTCTAATCCCAGCACTTTGGGAGGCTGAGGCAGGTTGAACACCTGAGGTCAGGATTTGAGGCCAGCCTGGTCAGCATGCCAAAACCCTGTCTCTACCAAAAACACACAAATAAGCTGGGCATGGTGGCGTGTGCCTGTAATCCCAGCTACTCAGGAGGCTGAGGCAGGAGAATTACTTAAATCTGGGAGGTGGAGGTTGCAGTGAGCCAAGATCAGGCCACTGCACTCCAGCCTGGGTGACAGAGCAAAACAGTCTCAGAAAACAAAACAAAACAAAACAAAAAGCATTTCCTGAAACATCTTTACCATACAAAAATTGTTAAATGGTTTACCTCTTCCCTATGCAAAATGAAGCACCTTAACTATACTTTAACCTGCAGAGACAAAAGATACTTTAAAAACCATTAACTTTCTTTTCTGTGTTTCAGAAGTTCGATTCAGTGGAAGCCATCATCGAACACTTCAAGTATTTTCCCATTATATTAATTGATGGGAAAGATAAAACTGGGGCCCACAGGAAACAATGTTACCTGACTCAGCCACTCTCTCTCACCAGACACTTTTCACCTCTGTAGTGGTCTTTGTGTTATCTTTGGTTTCCTGGATTCAATGCTTCCATTGTTTTCATTGATTTCAAAAGATTATTTTCTGTGTCTTCCAAAGATGATTTTTTTGACATTGTAGAAAAGAAAAGCACTCTAGAACAGAAAGTGGAAAATCAATCACAATTTTAAAAGTTCAAACCATAGAGAAAATGTTTATTTTCAAACCACAGAGAAAATAAAAACATTCTAGTATTTGGCCACTGGAAAGTAAGTAAAAATAAATAAAAACTCAGGTTTTAAAAGTTTCTTCTAGACTACATCAACAAAATTCTATAAACATAGCCATTATGCTCATGATACAGGCAAGCGGCAAAGGTGACCAGAAGCTATTGCTTAACTGTTTGCAGCTAGTGCAGAACAAGTCTGTGGGAAATTCCCAAATCTACGCTCTTTACAGGACACTGTGCTGCCTTTATGTCAGCTGTTTGGCCTTACACATCTGCAATGTGTGAATGATTTCTTACACTAAAGATGTTGATGAATATTAGCTCTCTTTTATTGTAATCCTAGAAATTCAAGTATAAGGAAGAAATGTGATATGGAAAACCAGCAATTGTGAATGTCACCTTGAAGATAGAAACTGAAAATACTCTGACCATGGTGTGAAATGCCCACAGGACCAGCCTCCAGCATCCTCTGCTTCTAGAAGCTTTAAGTCAAATGGAATTAACACATTCATAGTAAAGAGCTCAGATTATATCCTTCTCTAGCAGTCAGCCAAGCATGTGTCTGAGGGAAACTAAAAATTGTATTAACAATTCAAATTATGGACTTCCATTCAAAGACGAAGAAAAACTATCCTCAAATTAATGCTAATTCTTGCAGTAACATTGCACCTGTCATGATATTATTCCTGTGCCGGGCATGGTGGCTCATGCCTTAATTTAATAAAATTAAATTAAGAGGATTTAATTTTATTCTTGTTTGACAATAAAGATGAGGAAGCAGAGGCTTGAAGAAGCTATAGATCTGTTTAATCAGTTATGAGAAGAGAGCCCCAGATTGTAACCTGCTTTGCCTGGCTCCATGCAAGCTCATCTTCCCAGGTACATTCTTCACACTGTGGCATTTTACTATCAAGTTGAAAAGTGATAAAAAAAAGAGAGAGAAAGAAACAATTTGAAAATACAGATTTACCACCATAAAATAAACTCTTCCACTGGCAATAGGCTTTTTTAAAACTATATATACTGTTGAAAATAACAGTGTATCATGATGCCAAATGATAGCAAAGCTTACACAGGAAATTCATAGAGTATTTATATAAGTGTAGCGTTAATGCAGGAAGAAAACTGAAAAGAATTAAAAGGCAGTAGAATCAGATGAAAACAATACCAGCAATGCCCAGGATCATCCCTTCTGTAAGACAGCAGACAATGAGCTCTCGGAAAAGCTCTTAGCATCTACCCACCATCCAAGCACCGGCTCAGGTGCTCTTCCTTCACAAGGTAAATGTGAAGTGATGCCTGTAAATTACATCTGGAGCATGTAATGAAGAAGCTCTTTGTAAAGCTGGCATTTTTGAGACCTAACTGAGCCTATCTTAGAGTGTGCCTGAAGATTACACATGAACCAAGAGATAAAAGTGTTTACATTGGAGCTTGGATACTAAGGACCTCACTGGTCTGGCCAGAGCTAAAAGCTGGAATTCAACAAGCCAGGGACAGTATGGAAACAAGGACTCTACAGAAGGGCTCCAGGCTCATGTCAAGAAAGAATCTGACCCTCATCTTACAAAGCTATTGGGAGATGACTGATAACTCCAACTCACTGACTCATTGAGGCCATACCATTCAATGCTGTGTTCTCAAGAAATGTCTATGAGTCCTCTCAACCATTGCTGTCGATAAAATAGGTGAATGTCAGGTGGAGGTTATCATTTGATGAGGTGTATATTTGAATTAATGTATTATCACCTCTTATCTTTATCACCTTATATCATACATACATGATATAATTCCAAAAAGAAAAAGAAGTAGAAATTAAGTAGCCTAAAGATGACAGCAAGAATGAGGGGAAAAGAAAGAAAAGAAAAGAAAAGAAAAGAAAGAAAGAAAAGAAATTAAACATCTTGCCATAAAAAGTCCACAATATTTTTATCTATTTGAACATTTCTGTAAAAAATATAAAATTGAAAATATTGACATGGGCTGCTTCGGTTGATTGGGATTTGAGGGACTGTGTTAATCGGGTTTTCTAGAACTCAAGACACCAAGACAGAGTTCGAAGTGCAAACACTGATTGGAGGTTAATGTTTGAGAAAGATCAAAGGGAGAAGAAACAGAAGTATGGGTATAGGGTGGGCTTTCAGGCTCTCACCTGTGAGAGGGAAGAGGGGAGGTGTGGGAGTGAGTAGAAGAAGCACGAGATTGAGATACAGTTCTGGAGAGTCTTGGCTAACTCATGGTGAAGCCCAAAGCAAAATCTTCCCATAGAGGAGAGAGTGTTGTGGTGGGCAGAAATGTCCAGGTCTCAGTGTCCCACGATGCTAAGTCATGGTCTGGGGCTATCCTGGAAAACAATAACAACAAAAGACCCGCAAATGCTGTGGCAGATCCAGAAAGCGCGGCTGGATTCTGGCCACTAACTTTCTGGCCAGGAAGTTCTTTCAGCGGAGTCCCAAGTGACCCACCTCTGGCCTGCCACAGCGATAGTCTGAATTCACTGTTTTCAGTGTTGATCATAGTAAGAACAATCACATTTACATTTTGCTTGTAATGGATGATTAAATAATAAGGGCATATAAATCTAATTGTATTTGTTTCTTACGACACTTCTGTAAAGAAGAGAGGGCAGCTATTTCTAAGCATTTTACAATTCAGGAAATTGTACTTCATTGGCCAAAATCTCTCAGTGACATAGTTGTGACTAGAACCAAGGTCTTCATACACAATTATGCTATTCACAGTCTACCTGCTTTATTAGATCTGTAATTGAATATTCAATGATTTGGCTTTGACGTGCCCAAATTCCAATGTTTCAATCACTTTTTAACCATTACTTTATGTTTAGTTTAAAAGTATTACTTGATATCTGGTTTCAACAGAGTAAGGGAATTTTAGTTTTATCCAATTACAGCATTTATGCATTCCAGATATTTTTTGGACTAAATAATTCCCATTCTGGAGAAACGTGCATAGCTTCATCATGAGTCACGTATTGTGTTAGCACCTTTGTGTACTGCATGTGTATTCATTACTAGGCACTGTTGTAGATGTTGAAAATAGAGCAGTAAATAAGAGAGACACATGACAAATAAATATACAAAAAAAAAAGATAATCTAGGGTGGTTTCCCATTACTCAATTGGATTTCTATTTTAACACTTATCTCTGAGTGCTTGTGGGATGAGGTCAACATTAAATGTTTTCATGAAGCTCCCTTGAGATAGCTTTGAAAAGTCCTGAGTCAGAAAATTTAAAATTCTCCCAAATTTATGTGGGGGGTATGTGTGTATGTGTGCATGTGTGGGTGTGTTTGAGTAACTGCATAAGAGCTGTAATCAGTTAAATCTCCTTTTCTAATTACTGTGGAGGAATCAAATGAACTCCATTGTCGAATGTAGCCACTTGTCATGTATGTGTGTACACATACACAAGTTTCTATGAGATAGTCTACATTGTATAATATTAGCATTATATTTGTATATCTTTCTTTATTCTGAGCAATATTTGTTCTTGCTAAGCACATTTATGTCCATAATTTATAGTCATGCTAATTTAAATAAAAGCAAATATGTAATTAAATTTTATAATTTTCTCTGTATCTGATTATTGAAGAAAGAAATTCGAAACATAGCTTAATTTTGTTTCATGCCCTATTGCCCCTAAAACCCTTTTAAAATCATATTTAGGGCAAAATTAGGATCAAATTTCTAAAACAATTATTGATGTATGGGCATTATTCTAGACTTTGGAGGTGAAGATGAAAAAGACACAATCCCTGTGATTGTTAGCTCAGAGCCTGGCAGGCAAGATACACATGTAATAATCATCTTAACATGTGTGGGTTAATATCTCATTGTGGTTTTGATTTTTTCTCCCAATGATTAGTGAAATTGAGCACCTTTTCATATGCCTGTTGGCCAGTATCAAAAAAAACAAAAGATAACAAGTGTTGGCAAGGCTGTAGACCAATGGAAACCTTGTGCATTGCTGGTGGGAATGCCAAGTAGTGCAGCCACTATGGAAAACAGTACAGAGTTTCCTTAAAAAACTGAAAATGGAACGACGATGTTCAGCAATCCGACTTCTGAGTATGTACCAAAAAGAAATCAAATCAGGATCTTGAAAAGATATCTGCACACCCATATTCATTGGAGTATTTCTGACAATTATCCCAAGATATGGAAACAACCTAAATGTCCATAAAAAGTGAATGAATGGGTGGGGCACAGTGGCTCATGCCTGTAATCCTAGCACTTTGGGAGGCTGAGGCGATCAGATCACTTAAAGTCAGGAGTTCGAAATCAGTCTGGCCAACATGGTGAAACCCTGTCTCTACTAAAAATATTAAAAAATTAGGTGGGCTTGATGGTGGGTGCCTGTAATACCAGCTACTCAGGAGGCTGAAGCAGGAGAATCACTTGAACCCGGGAAGAGGAGGTTGCAGTGAGCCGAGATTGTGTCACTGCATTCCAACCTGGGTGACAGAGCGAGACTCTGTCTCAATAAAATAAAATAAAAAGAATGAAGAAAATGTGTTATACAAACACAATGGAGTATTATTCAGCCTCAAAAAAGGAGGAAATCCTGCCACATGACAAGGTGGATGAATCTGGAGGACATCATGCTAAATGACATAGCCAGGCACAGAATGACAAATACTGCATGACTCCACTTATATGAGGCATCTCAAATAAACTCATAGAAACAGAGAATACAATAGTTGTCACCAGGAGCTGTGGTGAGAGGGAAATGAAGGGTTGCTGTTCAATGGATATAAAGTTTCAGTTACACTAGGTTAATAGGTACTAGAGATCTGCTGTATAGCATTGTGCCTGTGGCCAACAATAATGTTATCTACTTAAAATTTTGTTAAGAAGGTAGACATCATGTTAAGCTTGTTAAGTGTTCTTACCACCAAAAAGGAGATGGGGCAGGAGGAAATGTTTGGAGGTGACAGATGTGCTTATTACCTTGATGGTGATGATGGTGTCGTGAGTGTACATACATCTCCTAACTCATTAAATTGTATACATTAAATATTTCCAGTTTTTTATTATATCTATC